CCAGTCTTTTCAGTAGAACTCAGTTTTTCAAGTTCATCACTCACCGCCTATCCAAGTCTCCTCCAACAGAAAAGGCAAAACAAGCAAGTCACACCAACAATGTGCAACAGCCGCCTCTCATTCTCCTCCTCCTCTTTTCCTTCTATGTAGCTTTATGATTTATACAGCACTTTTATCTATATTGTTTCGTTTCATCTTCAAACAGCATCTGTAGCTTAAATGTTATCTCCATTTTGCAGAATCGCCAGGCTGGTTCCAAAAAAAAAAAAAAATCTGTTTAGGATCCCTAGCTTGTTGGCACTCCAGTAGCTACAAGTCTGCCCACCACACACCAATGGATTTTTTAACTGCTATTAAAGTCTTGAGAGTTCCCTGCCCTAACTCTTTTACTTATATTTAGGGAATCCATTACTATTTTAGCTGTGATACTGAAGAGCAAGCTACTGGATGCAGGATGCTAACTCAGCACAATCATCCTGCCCCAAAAATAAGAAAAGCAAAACCTAGAATTATGACGTCCCATTCCATCAAAACATAAAATACCTATCCCTCCCCCAAAGGAAACAAAACAAAACTCAATTCGTGTCTCCTTTTATTCCTAACTGGAAGGCTGTTGCAATGCGTGGTCAAGGGATGGTACTTCCTTTTGGAAACCATACCAGTGGTCAGTCCCTGAGTGAGTGTGGGCTATGTGCCAATGTCATGTGAGCAGCCCACGGAGGAATTCAACCCCTGTGAGGTTGAGATTTGGTTATTCCCTTCTACCATGAGGAAACTGAACTTTCTTGCGGTTAACTGGTTTTTCCTTTGTCCTTCCACTAAAAGTCCCCAGGCTCCCAAAATGAGCGAGGTGCAAGGAGACTAATGGATCATCAGTTTGGGACAAGGAAGACAGAAGCCACTGGGTCAGCCGTGCTCCAGCGGATTCTTACAGCAGAACAAATGCGAAGGGCTCTGTGCCTGAAGTGCCACAACAGGTGGCTGGCCAGGGGTGACTTCATCACTCAGGCATGGTTCCACCTTGTCTCCCAGGCCATGCCTCTCCCGTGGGAGAAGTTTCACACAATCAGTCCCACTGACCTCCATTCTTTCTCCCTGTACATTTTGTCTGTGGTTAGGTAGTGGGGGATGGGCTCGTTCTGGGACTAGCTCAGTAAAAAGATCGCTTGCTCTCAGCTCTCTCTGGGCTGGGGAAACGCGGGATTATTTGACAGAGCATGGAAATTTTCTTGGAGCGCTTGAACTTGAACTTGACTCTAAGCACGCTTGGCCTGGCTAAAGAGGGGAGAGAGACAAAGATGTAAGGAGGAGATCTCAGGCTAGCTTTCTGCCTTGCCTATTGATGACTTGAAGCTATCAGTATAAATACATAGTCTCACACATTAGGGGCAGGCATATAGGTTTTTAAAATCTGGATTGTTTATACAGGTGCAGAACAAAGTCTTTCTTTAGAAAAGATTAATGGTGGGGAGAGCACTACATTTCTCTAAACAGTCCCAAGAACTATACCCAGCCTCAACACTAAGGGGGTCATGGCCAGTTTCTTTTTCTTGAAGAAACTCCCTGACCCTAACAAGTCAGGCTTATTTTTCATAGCTTTTGCCTTCCTTCTCTATTCTTCCTTCTTTCTCTTTCTTCTCTTCTCTCCCTGCTTTCCTCTCTTTCTCTCCCCCTTCTCCCTCCTTCTGCTCTCCTTAAAGAAAGTCAGATATTTTTATTTTTGTTTCTTCATTTGTCTTCCTTTCATTTTCATTTTGTCGCCATTTCTTTCTAGCTACATTCTCACCCTTTTAACTCTTTTTATTTTCCAGTTTGTGAATGTGCAAGGAAGATTAGGAAATTTATCATATACGTATTTCTTTTTAGTGTAGAATTGCAGTTTGTTTTCATGGGTCTGTAATATCTGAGGTTTGTCACCTCTTTCCAGTATTTTTACTTTTCCTTCTCTGGATGATCTTAACACCTGGCAAGTTGAACAGTGTAAGTCAGTCAGTCTCTCCCTTTCTCTCTCTCTCTCTCTCTCTCTCTCTCTCTCTCTCTCTCTCCACTGTTTTGATGTCACTCCTCATTGCAAGTAAATAAATAATAAAGTCCTAGTTTTTGTATCAAAGTGCACACTGAACCCAATTTCTGTTCGCCTCTGCTTTACAAACTTTTAAATTTGTAATAGATATACACTGTTGTCTATCCTGTTCATTAAGGGTCTTGAAATATTTTATTCATATTCTTTGTAAATATACAGTGTTGGGTGAGTGGGGTTAAAGTTGCTTTATAAAGCAGACATTAATACATTTAATAATTTTTCCTCAACCTGGATTTTCACTTACTGGATATATAATTTGGGGGACAGTTTGCTTTTTTTGAGACTTAGTTCTTTGATCTTAGTTCTTAGTTCTTTGATCTTTTTCTGGAAAAGAAGAATATGTATGGACTATTGTCTACATCAGAGACTGGCACATGGGAGATCAGTAAATGCTACTTATTATTATTATTATTATTATTATTATTATTATTATTATGGTGGTGGTGGTGGTGGTGGTGAATGGTCTTGCTGGATATCACACAGCTAATAAGTGTTAGTGTCTGAGGCTGATCCAGGTTTTGTACTACAGGGGTTGTTCTGGGGTTTGGATAACACCTGGATTTTTATTTGCTTTGAGTGCAGTCTTTAAGTGTCTGAAGTGCAAAGTCTCATTTCAAAATATTTTCCATGCTTCCATAAGGGCACTCACTGAGGAAAAAAAAAAATGGATGAATGGGACTTCATTAGAAACTTTCCTTTCTGTCCCCAAGTCCTCTCATTGAAAATTAAAAACATTTTTTTTTTCTGGCCCTACTATCCCAACTGAAAAAAATAAAGGAGGCGAGGCAGGTAAAATGCCCAAATCGGAGTTTCTAATGTGCTGAAAGGATTAAAGGTTGTAGTATATGTGACAGCAGCATGCTTGGGTGTAACATGGAAAATTGCCTGATAAATAAAAATATTTTTAAATGCAGACTTTTTTTAAAATTAAAAGGACAACAAAGTGGAATAATAATTACAAAACATAGGAAAAAAAAGACCCATTCACTGACCTCCCCCAACTCTATGGTAATCCTGGGTGAGGAAGCTTAGAGTTTGGCAGGTTAAATGGGCTTGGTTTTAGGGAGAGCAGAGCATTCCTCTATTCTCTGTGAAGGGTAGATGCAAATCCTGTAGTGAGTAGGTACTTAAGAAACCCTTGTGGGAATGCATATGAAGGGATAGAGCTTTCCCCATATGACTTTCCTGATGCTGTCTCTCTCATTAATCTACTGAGCCCCACTTTGTCCCATTGGCTGAAGGAATTTCCCATACTTTAAGGCAATTGTCTGTACTTTGGTCTGGAAAAACAGCATTAAAAAAATGTGGATCGGCACTGGATATTAGCTACACAAAGCTACTGAGCCCAAGAAACCAGCCCAATCATGGACTTTAATAACGAATACCTACTGAGTATTGAAGATGTAATGTTAACAAAAGAATGTAAAATAGCTCCTCAATATTTTAAAATATTAACTACATGTCAAAGTACACTAATATTTTGGGTATGTTAAATCACATGAAATTTACTAACAAAATTGATTTCAACTTTTTAATTATTATGCAGTTATTTAAAATTTAGAATTATATATGTAGGTTCCATTGCATTGCTGTTGGACAGTTTGGTGATTAATCTCAGGGATTATGCATTGCAGCCAACTTCTATCTGCTATTAGTAAGAGTGGCTCCCACTCCCTTGAATGGAAACTGTCATGACAATATGGTGAGCCCATGTGATATCATTATTTTCCCTTGACATCTGGCCTGCATCTCACCATGTGTACTTAACCTCATGCAATCCTGCGAAACTGTCAACATGCTGAAAAGCACTTCCAGTTAGGATTTCCACAGCCCCTTATCAAACAAACCTTCACCTGGAGAAGTGTAGGATTTGATGGGCCACTCTGAAGACAGGGCTCCAGTGAGGGATTTTTCAGGGTAATGTTGGGATGAAAGTACAGTGCCCAGGACAGAAAGATACAGGTTTGCATCCTGTGATATCCAGTCAAGTGGTATGCAAGTCATGTGGCATTTGGGTTGTTTGCAGAGTGCAGCATTAGGACAGGATCTCTCAAGACTTAGGCCCTTTTTTTAGCTCCTCTATGTAAACACCTGAATCCTTCTCTAGGTCCAGGTCAAATTTTCTACTGGTGTCACCCAGCATGTCACTGGTCTCCAGCCATCATCAGGCTGGGAGCCATGAGATCAGGGGCTTAAGGGAACTGTTGGAACCCAGGGAAGGAGTCCTCTGTCATCCCTAACATTACTAGTCCTCAGCTACTAGTTTATTTTTCCAAGAGTTTGCTGCAAGATTTTTGTTCCTTCCATTGCGGCTTTTGTTGCCTTAGTTGTAGGGAGACCAGTGTACAGAGTCAATAGGATCATGGAGACTGGAGGTAGGGAGAAAAGCTGGGAGTTAAGAATGAGAAATGGGACTAGGGTACAAAAAGGGAAAGTGATATGACTCAGTAGAGACCAGATTTTCCCTGCTATGTGAGATACAAGACAGATATCCTCATTGATTGTCTTTACAACTAACAATACAGGTGGCTTCAGGGAGAAAAAAAAATATCTACCATCTATCTATCTTAGGCCTTAGGAAGCCTCAGATTCCATGTGGAATGTTGTATATCTCCTGCAAACAACTTTGAATACCATATTAGCCTGCTGAAGAAGACTAGCTTTCAGGAAGGAAAGGCCCTGTGGTGAAGGCCACTATGGATGCTTGTTTGCAGAATGTATGCCCTCACTCATGATGTTGGACAGTCCTGAAGGATGAGCCAGTCAGAGTTAGAGCTGAGGCTCATGGGTTTGAGAACAATCTTATTTTAAAAAATCTCTAGAATCAGTCTTTCATTCTTAGGCAGAAGCTAAGAAAGTTCTGTCTTGGGGAATTTCCTCTTTCTAAGTACTTTTGATTTTGTTGGCAATACTTAGAAAATACTGAATCACCTCTTGAAATTCTGGTCTTCAGTGTGTGGTCTCAAATCTTCTTTGATTTAATTACGCAGTTAGGAGAGAAGTGCCACCTTATCATGAGGCATGCTCTGGTAAAAGCCCCTTCAGCTAGGAATATTAGGAGGTCAAATGAGACTGCCTGAGATAGGCTTCCCTGGAAAATGTAGAGCACTGTCCAAGGTCAGTTAGTACATTATTGTTCCCATCTCTGTTAGGGGCTCATTCTTTTCCTGCCTCCTCTCTTCAGTCCTGGACTCTGTTCATCCTTTGTAGAATTAAATACCTCCTGGCTCCAGAAGGAAGTTCTCACATAATAGATACTTGGTGGTATCAAAGAACAGCAATTCTGTACTCTTTTTCAACTAGTCCCTTAACCAATTCTTTTATAAAATACTGGCCTAGACTATTTACGTATGAGATTTACTTTCCTAACCCAGGCCTCCTATTCCAAAGGAACTCCTTAATAGATGATCAGAACAGGGAAGCATTTGGGTCAGTATGCTCAATTTCTTTTTTTCTTTCTTTGGCTTGGTTATGCTGCTTTGCCTTTAAAAAATATATATCAGAAAAAAATACACTGCTAAATTCCTCTGATGGTTTCAGTCCTGAAGGAGAATATGAGGCTGTTGGAAATAGAAGGAGAGAAGGTACTCTTCCACCTTGTCTTATCACTCAGTCCCTTTCCTTCTCAGATTATTATATTTAAGCAACTTCTTTTAGGAAAGAGAGGAGCAGAATTCAAATAAAAAAGAAAATGGGAAGACTAATCTGCAAGCTCAAGGAAGGCAGAGTCTATCTTTTCCTCATGAATATCCCCAGGGCCTAATAGCTTGTGAAAGGAAGGACCTATATAGCTGATGATTAAAGATATTCACTAACACATCAGCACCCATGAATCCTGGGAGACACACACTCAACCCATTATATATTTGTCTTTCACTTAACCAACTCAGTCTCCTGCTCTGTGCTCTCTTCCATTGCCAACTCTTAGACCCAAATACATTTCTCATGGATTGGATAGACTTCTAAAGAATATTTCCTATTTTCACATGTAGTTTATATATCC